ATTGGGGGCGAAGTCAAGCAATTGAGAGACAACGTAGGGAAGTTTTGTGAGGGCGCCATTCAGGGTGCCAAAGCTGCAGCCGCTGTAGAAGGAGAGGGCAGACCCCGTAAGGACCCAGTGAAACTTAAGTTCCCAGACGCGTAAGTGGGAAAGAAGGACGAGAACTTTGACAACTGGGAGCCCAGTGTCAAGAGTTACATTTATTTACAGCATATCCTGATGGAGGAGCAAGTCCTCGTGGCCTTCCAGGCCCTGAAGGACGAAGCGGCTAGCTTTGCCAGGTCTCTCGCACGTACAGCCGGTTGTGAAAACAACCTGGTTGCGTATTCCAAAGTCACTCCTCTTTCCCAATTCCTCAAGCTCCTCAAGGAGGGGTTCGCTGACCCAACGCGAGGCATTAGAGCCTCTGATAAGCTCCAATCGATCCACTCTCGGCAGTGGAGGAGTGCTAAGGCACTCAAGGGTACTATGGACGACTTGGTAGCCGTCCCGGACCACGGGGTCACTGAGCCCAGCTGGTCCAGTTGTTTTATCGTGCCATTCCAGAGGCCCTACGCGGGCATTTCTTTGACAAATCTCAGCAGGCCGACATGACTTACGATGCATTGAGTAGGGAAGTCGTCCTGTATGAGTCAAAGTCTATGCCAGTTACCACTTTCTGGCATAAGGACTTAGAGAAGGGGAAGAAGTGGAAGAATCGTACCATCTCAGGCCAAGTAAAGGCCAAGGATCACATGATCCTGACATTAGAAGAAGGTGGTACTGATGAGGTCCCATATGACCAGATTGAGTGGGGCCTTGAAGATGATGGCAGTAGTGTGGGGCAGGGGAGGTCTTACGCTGCTGTCGCGGCTGGGGGGAGGCCGCAAGGAGGAGGAGGAGGCCAGGGCCAAAGGGGTCAGGCCATGGGTGGCCGAGGACCGGGCGCACAGGGGGTTGGCGGGCAGGGAAACCGCCAAGCGGGAGGTAGGGGTGAAGGTCCCCCGTCAAATCGCCAGGGTAATCTGTCCCCACAACGAAGAGGTGGAAGGGCACCTCAAGGGGGTTGGCACCCAGGCTTGCCATAGGGCAGGCCCTGGGAAGATTTGGGCTTGGACCAGCGTGTATGGCAAAAACGCGTGGACCGGGGTCAGTGCATATTCTGTGGTGACCCGGCCCACGTTATCAAATTTTGTCCAAAGTATAGACAGGCCCGTTGGGCTGCTCAGTCGTCAAAAGGGAGCCGCCGGTAGGGGTTGCAACTGCCCCTACTTCCAGGCCATGTGGAGAAGTGAGCACGCGCGAACAGGACACTCCCAACCCACATGAGCCTATGGCAGAGGTTGCAGGCCCGTGCCTAGATAGCTGTCCAGAGACCACCTGTGTTAGCGTCTCTTAAGGAGAGGATGCCAGCCTGGGCCAAAATGAAAAAGGAGAGCAAGGGACAACTGATTTTGGTAGATGTAGAGGTGTTCAGAAGTAGAGTAGGGGCCCTTATAGACCCAGGGGCTACCCGTAGTTATATCAGCCGTAGGGCGCTGAAGAAGTTGAGGCCGGGACTAAAAGTCCAGAAGTTCGTAGACCCCATAGTTAGTGTCCTCGCAGACAACCGCACGATGCGAGTTGAGGACTACGTAGAGGGAGTCCAGGCGTACTTTCGCCTAGAGAAGGATGGGAAGGTGGAGAAAGTTCTCCATTCCCTGACTCTCCTCGTACAAGATGACCTTCCTTTTGATATAGTGTTGGGAATGGATTGGGGAGAGGCAGCAGGGGCCACACTTCATCTGAGAGAGCATGAGTGTAGGCTCCCTAGTCCGGCGGGCGAAGTTAAGACTGCCCGCTTGTTCCACGTTTCGGGTGTAGACAACACTTTGGCACATTGCTGTCTCGGTGCTCCCGCGTTCGCACGATTAGTCAAAAAGGAGCAATTAGAAGACCAGGTCTTTGTAGTTTATGTTAGACCTGTCACAGAGGGCCAGGAAAAGAATGGTTCCACAGATCCAACAATTGCCAAGCTGCTGGAAGAGTTCCAGGATTTGACTGAGTCGCCGACAGGAGTAGTGCCGCGACCCATCCAACACAGGATAGAGATAGAGCCTAGCATTACAACTCTTAAGGGTGCAGTCTACAGGATGTCCCCTAGAGAGTTAGAGGAGCTTCGCAAGCAGTTAGATGAACTCCTTGAGAAGGGTTGGATCAGGCCCAGTTCGTCTCCTTTCGGAGCACCAATTTTGTTTGTCCCCAAGAAGGAAGGAGAACTTCGTATGTGTATAGACTATAGGAGTTTGAACGCGATCACAGTAAAGAACGTTGAGCCGCTGCCCAGGATAGACGATCTTTTAGATCGGGTGCAGGGTTGTAAGTATTTCTCTAAGATAGACTTAAAGTCCGGATACCATCAAATAGAGGTCCATCCTGATGATCAGTACAAGACTGCGTTCCGGACTAGATATGGGCATTATGAGTTTATAGTGATGCCCTTTGGACTAACCAACGCGCCAGCTACTTTTCAGCGTTGCATGAATGACCTATTTAGACCATGGTCAGATAAATTTGTAGTAGTCTACTTAGATGATATCCTAGTCTTTAGTAAGACCCTCCAGGAGCMCCAGGGTCATCTGAGGCAGGTCTTGGAGAAGCTTAGAGAGGCTAACTTCAAGATCAACGCGAAGAAGTGCGAGTGGGCCAAGACGCAAGTCTTATACTTGGG